GGAAGTATGGTGTGCTGCTCTGCCTGGGTGTTCCCGCTCCTGAGAAGTCAGCTCGAGCCTGGAGAAGTGTGACAAGCCAAGGACAGCCGTGAGATAAAGGCAGTACAAGAGAGAGAACTCCTAACAGCATCCTCTGGCTTGCCCATGCCAACTGGACCCAAGTTTGAGGGCCATAATATATTAAATCAAAACACTTCATGGAGCATTGTCTCTTTGTAAATCAAACCAATAATGATGTATATATCTTTATATATATATATAAAGATATAACACTTTCTTTTTAGTCTTTCTTGAATCCGAAAGATTTGAGTCATGTCCTTTATTTTTTTCATTTGAGGATTTACAAACACATAAGAAAATATATTTAGAGTTTCCAGCATTTGAATTAAGCTGATTTAGAGCAGAAGCCTCTCAAATAATTTTCCAGTAAATAGCAGTTCATTTTAGGAGAAACAGAAAATCAGTAAATGAATATTCCTGTCACATAGCCCCAGTGACTTACCAACATTTATTTCTGTGGGCATCTTTTCTTGAGAGATACCTTCTCAGGGATGCAAACCCACTACACTATAATGGAGAAAGCAGTCAAATGCTGTGAGAGAAATCGGTGTACACAGATTTCAGTGGGATTCTGCCAATTCAGACCAAGTTCTAAGACCCAACCCACCACGCTAATCAAAGCTGAATCTCCTGGGAGCACCTCAATGCAAAACTGTAAGGGACATTTCATATTTGCCATCATTATAGCCATCTTAATTAATTTGTCCTCTGCTGAATCTCTCTCAAGAAGAGAAAACTTCATTTTTATTTTTACTGCCAGTTGTTGATTTTAAAGAATTGCATCTGTCTCTGTTTGTACTGCTACCATACGCTGCTGTGAACAAATGTGAACCTCTTCTATCATAGTTCTTACCTGTTGTTTATGTATAAACCCACGAGAACCTGCATGTACTTACATGTGAGCCTCAATTAAAAGCACCCTGCTTGGGTGTGCCAGAGGAAAGGGAAACTATCCTTCGTCAGAGCCCAGCCCGTTGCTGCTGCAGGCAGGCAGCGTTCCGTTGCCAGCACGCCAAAAATATTTTGGCTACCGTGAATGGGGACGCTCCAAACCTTGGAAGGAGCTGAGTGCAGCAATACAGTCACGGCTCCACTTCCACCAGCTACAAGGTACCAGCCCATGGTGAAAATCTCAGGCTGTGCCTGTGGAAAAACACAGCAACTGCTGTTTTCTCCGTGTTTGACCCAACCCAAGGCCCAGATGTACGTGCGTAACATACGCAGGTGACGCTGCGCTCGCATGGTGCTGCATGTAGACTGTCTCCAAGGGCTTCTGCCCCAGCCTTATTCTCCCTTCCTACCCAGGGTTAACTCTGTAGATCAGCGCTGTGGTTTGTTACTAACACCTTCCTCCTTACTACGTGTGTATGTGTAGGTAACTGTGTGTGTAAGGTGTGTTACCAATTCATATAGTCCACGGTCACCTACAGAACGAGCGTTATCAGGAGGTAAAATTCTCAGCTCTTAATTTCTTTGGGCTCTGATCCAAGTTGCTAAAACTGATGGAAAAAATGGTGGGGCTTCGGCAGACTTTGAATCTGTCCCTTCGACGCAGTTACGAGGCGTTTTACAGCTCTCACGGCTTCAACGTCTTCCATAAATCACAGTAAAATATTGTTGCTAGAAAGCTGTCTCTTTTGATACTGAAATTTTAATGTTGTGAAGCTGTGCCAAAGGAGCCTTAGGATGAATTAGTAGTTCATAAGCTTGAGGGGTTATCAGTGCTTAGAAGACATGATAAATTGTTATATGTCATCTGAAAATAAATGGCTCTTTAAGTGTGTTTTTATACCAAAGTATAGGTATGAACAGGTTGGGAGTAACTTTAAATGTTGTCTACTTTCTGGGTTTTTTTTTCACCTAGTGTCTTCAAGCACATTTACTTTCTCAGCTGAATGCCACACAGATCTTTTTTTGAGATAACTTAGGCGTTACCTACGTACATTACACACATCTACGCACGTTACACAAATCTACACCAATCCAAACTGCTAAAAAAAAATAAATTCCTTCTAGTTTTTACTTTTTTAGTTTGAAATGATAGCAAAACGAATGAAATCTACCTTTTACATTGCTGCATTGTTGCAGCGACTCTGCATTTAAATGCATCTCACTCTGTTGTATGTGGTATTTGCATATTTAGCAGAACAAAACAGTAAGTTGGTGGATTTGAAGCTGAAGAAGCTCCTAGAAGCTCAGCCACAGGTGGCAAATTCACTCTCCAGTGCTGCTCAGAAAGCTGTAACTGATAGCTCCGAGCAAGACATTAAGGTAAGTTTTGATTAATGCTTTTGTCTCAGTACCTGTGTGTTCTGATTTTGGGTTTGTACTTTGTGAGGAGGAAAATGATTTCTTAGCCAATCCTTCACAGTGAGAAACGCGGAAAATCTTGGTGGCAGCGCGGTTGCGTGGTTTGTAATGCACAGGGG